TTCGGACTTCTAGGGTTGTTGCTTTTTAACATTTATTTTAAATTAAAAAAAATTGAATATTATTTAAATTTATTTAGGTGTCTTATAATATTATTATTTTTTAAAGAATATCTGTACGAGTCAATACATTTAAAATAGAAATATGTTCTATAACTTATATACAGTACCTAGCAGCAAGCCCGGAGAAGTTAATCGTAATTTTTAATTGAGTTAAGTTAATTTAATAGAAAACATTTTAAAATTTTAAAATTTAATAGTTATTCTATTTTTTTTACCCCGTTAAGTTTAAAGTTATATGGAAACCTATAGTTAACTTATTAAGTTAAGTTATTATTTTTTTTAAATTATGTATAGCCAGCTATACAGTTTAAAATAATACAAAGTAAATGTTTATGCAATTATAATTTAATTGTATTTACTATTTTATTATTTATAAGTTAGAGTATCTTAGATTTGATTAAAAGTAAATCGTTAGTTGTTAAGTTTACATAAATTAAAATCAAAATCAAAATTAACTTAACTTTAACTTTTTAACTAGTTTATGCCCAGGCTTGCGGCTAACAGTATACATATCTCAAATAATTTGTTTTTATGGTGATAATTTATCACTGATAAATAATAAGTATTTGTTACTTACTCCTTTTTTGTCAGTTTGATATAAAATTAAGTGATTCATTTAAGTGTCCACTAAATACTAACTTTAGTTAAGTATTTTAAGTATTAATGAGCTGAGTAGGTAGTGTACCAAAATTTTGCTGGGCACCCCTGAGCCACTCCCTTCCGTTCATCTAAACTTAATACATAAATACTTATAAGTTATACCTTAAAAAGAATAATCGTATATAACTTATAACTTACTTAACTTAAATTACCTATAACTTAAATTTAATAAAATTCAAAGTGTAATTTTATACCTATGTATCAAAATACTGTGGAAAATATTCTGCTCCAGAATATTAAATTAAAAACTCATGTTTTAAATCAAAAACCTTAACAAATGTTTAAAATAACAACAATAAAAATTTGAAAAAAAAAGTGTTTTGAGTATGCTGTTTTTTAACGACATAAAATTATGTAAAAAAAAATATTGTCAAACAAGTTTAAACTTGTCGAAATAATGAGTGTATACATTTAAATGGGTCAACTCCGTATATATATATATATGATAGTCTTATAAATTGAATTATTGATTTTTCTCAAATATATTCTGATAGTTGCAAAAAACATAACCTTTATTACCCACCTGTGAATAATATTCAATATAGTTTTTAGTATCGCACCGAAATAATCACAAAAGTTTATGCTTCCAAATACTCTTTAACTTATTAGTAATTACCTATACAGAAAAATAATTTTCAAATATATGATATATATATATTAGTTTTTTAATTTAATTAATTTAATTTAATGAATTAACCACTATAATTTACACGCATGTATTTGTTTGAACAAATTCTCATCATACCTTCTATGTTATTTTCCAATAACATATTCAAAACGATTGTATTAACAATGAATCCTTGAAAAAGAAAATGTTAATAGATTGTTTGTTTTTTCCGTTAGATATGCTATGGAAGTTCATATAGTACATTATAAAAAAGAGTATGGAAGTTTCAAAAACGCTCAAAGTTATAGCGATGGCGTTTGTGTCATCGGATTTTTTGGAGAAGTAATTCATTTTTAAATAAATATTTTATTGATCAGGAAGATCTTCAGAATATGTTAGTTGCAGTTGTAAAAAATAGCAAATATAATATATTATGCCGCCCGATCACATTAATAATGCTATTTGGCCGCGCTCCACTCCACACGCCAAAACAAGATATTATAACCAAAATAAAATATGCACTTGATATAGTTGGACACACATACACCCACATGTAGTAATCAATATTGTTTTATTTTTGTAATTATCTCAATGTTTCCTGTGAATTATATAACATTATGATATTATGTAGATAGGTACTATAAATTATATTATTTACCTGTCGCGTTATCGCATGCCACCGCGCCGGCTGCACGAAAATAATTTAATACGGCCGCCATCTTTTTCGTCACACGGTACAACGTGCAGTAGCACAGTGTTGCTAAATTTATAATATATCATTTGTTTTCCTCTAATAGTAAAAAGTATTGTTCCGTTTTACGACAACTGCTGTTCGAACTTCTACATCTCTACAGTACTACACATCCAGCTATTATGTTATTATTTCAAGTTTCTAGGTGTTAGTGGACGATCATTTCCTCAGCCCCCATTTATCGATTTTCACCAATTTTTTTTGCCAATATTTAGTACGTCATTTGTTTGATATTGGGTGCCCCGGAAAAATCAATTTCCCCATCGAGGGGCCAAGGAAACGGCTCCACGAAGTTAGCCGCCTAACGTGAATATTTTTGAACCAAATTTTGTCAACAATTTGTAAGTTATTTGTAAGTTCATGTAAGAACAAATTGGGAATTTGTAAGTTCAGCCGTTTTAAATTATTCACAAAAGCTTAAATCAAGGCTAACTTCTGCGAAATTTGGCCGTTTTATCATTCAAAGTTTTTAACCGAGCCAAAATTTCCAAGTATTTGTAAGTATTTGTAAGCAAAAATTTAAAATTTGGAAGTCATCCCTTCCTTAATTATTGTACCTACAATTTGGTACAAAAATATTCGCGTTAGGCGGCCAACTTCACGGAGCCGTTTCCTGGGCCCCTCAATGGGGAAGTTGATTTTTTCGGGGCACCCGATTTCAAACAAATTCTGACTGGGATCAAACAAATGACGTACTAAATATTGGCAAAAAAAATTCATGAAAATCGATATGTGAGGGGCTGAAGAAATGTATACGTTGTTAGTGGTCCAAATTAAGCATTTAATGTCGGGCGCGAGTACTAACATACACGATTGGATACTCCCGGCCGGTTCAATATATTATAATATACCTAATTGGGTTAGATATGCATTTATTTTTTACCTTTACTTTAAAAATTACCTGTACAACCCTAGAAAGGTCAATACCTACCAAATGTTAAGTTTTTTTTTATACTTATAGATATCATCAAAAGACAATCGAGATATGGCTAATTTTATTGCAGATTTAAAATACATAGTCCAACCAAAATCGTTGATTGTTAGAAGTTTTAAAGAAGAGTTCTCTTGGATAAAGAAAACCGCTTTAAAACAACATTACTTCACTTATCGCGGATCTCTAACAACTAAACCGTACACAGAATGTGTAATCTGGATAATTTTTACCAAACCCATTCATATATCTAGGAGACAAGTAAGATTGATATAATTATTTGAATAAATCAATAATGATATACTTTACTAAATATTCATTTAATTTTAATAGTTAATGCAATTCAGAGCGTTACATTCAAGCCATAACGGAGTATTAATAAACGAAAACGATAGACCTCTTCAACCATTTAATAATAGAACAATTATTTATGGATATTAAGCGTGTAAAACGTTATTTAATTTAACATCATTATTAGTACTAGCCACTAGGTACCTAGTTATTACATAGTATTATTAATAATATTTCTATCAAAGTTATTGTTTGAGTTTTGGTTTATGAATTATAAGATGTTATCAAAATTGAAATAAATGATTGTTCGTGAGTATTGAAATGTTTTGTTATGTTTATTAGGCCACTATAATAACTCTTAAGTCTTAATATAATATGTTTCTTATATTGAGTAATTACCTAAACGATGTAATAATTGATAAAGTGTACAATTGTATAGTTTTAATATACAGCGAGATATATTCTGTAAAGGAGACGTCTCACTCGTATTTGTTCGCCTCCGGCTTACAGACGTTCAGCATACCAAGTTTGAATTCGGCAGACCAATTTTATGTCGAAAGCATTTTTATGATTATTAATTGAATAATATTTAACGTAAAGGTAAGAACATTATTTAATGCAGTATACTAGATTTTTACGGTATTTTAATTTTTAAGCGAGTTATGAATACGCTGTGTAAAAATACTACAATTCAAAACTGTTAACCTAACCTAAACAAAACTTACATTACCGGAGAAAGGAAGAACTGTTGATCATCAAAGCGTTTACGACGATAATACCCACGAGACGACAACCAGCAGCAGTGTCAGTCATTCGTCGAACTCCTTTGCGGTGCCCGTAATTGCGGTTACCCGGTGACCAAACGTTATCGGCGAATTTTCAAGTCTTTTCCGAGAATACAACACCAGTTACTGCAGTAATCTGAAACCCTCGCCGAGGCTAGGACACCTTTGGTTCCACTGACGTTTTAGGAAACGGCGGCGGCGGAGAGAAATGTGTACCAGGAGCTACCAATGAGACCTCATAGGCCATTCACAGGGCAATTCAAAAAAAGTCAACTACGATCGATACCCGAAGATAGGTCTTTTCAGGACTATTACCGACCTAACACTCCGGCTTGCCTCCCCGGTGTGCCACCTAGAGAACGCCTCTTATTTGATATGGCAGTTCTAAGTATAGCCTAGTACTTTCCATATTGCATCTGTATGATAGGACAGCACTTCCAGTTATTGTCAAGTAGCCCCGTGCCACAATTGGATCGTTAACTTAGGGACCACTGACTAGGATCAAACATCTGTACATGTTATACAATTTTAGAAAATAAATTAAGTTAGGTGATTGCCATTATAAAACAAGACTTGAGCATTTATTCAACGAGGTGACTCGCCAACACCCGATGGCCGTTTCAATGTTATTAAATATTTCATTATTATTCTGAAAATTTTAAATGGATACAACCGAGTAAAATATTACATGAATATTTTAAAAAAGTACTTCACTGGTAAAATTATGAAATGTATTTAGTAAAATAAAATCGAAGAATATTTACACATATTTAAAAACATGTGTAAAGTTCATATTTTATGTTAACTAACGATCAATAAAATTATGAGACTTAATTCAAATATTTGGCCAATATTTTACAGCTAATAAATTAATTTAACATATGCATATTAGTTATTTATTATGAAAAATAACAAAGTAGGTACCTAATTGTTTAAATAATTGTTCTATATTTGAGTTATAAACAATAATTACCAACCTCCAAGTATTTCATTCACAGCCATATATTAAAAACAAGTTTATTATTTGAACTTTGCAGATATTTTCATTGAATTTATTTTTAAAATTTCGTTTAAATTTAATTTTTATACTTTTACCCGTCCCCGTATCAGTGTAGCCTTATATAGTAGCTATAAGGTACTGCTGGAGATATGTTTAAAGTATTCTTATTCTTATTTGTATCAACTTTAATTTATATTGATAACTCTTATGGATCAAGTAAATTATAAATAACCACTAAAATATTACATTTTTCGAGTCTGATATTTTATAAAATTTATCAAAAAAACAGGTAGTGAAGCATCTGGCGACGGACCTAAAAAATGGCCGTATATCAATCAAACATTTGTAGATGGTACAGTGCAATCACCAGTTAACATATTATCGCTTGATTCTTATACAGCCAGTTTACCAAGTTTGCTGTACTTTCGATATTGGCGAGAAGAAAGCGTTAAAATTAAAATAAAAAACAGCGGACACTCACGTAAATCTGTTTCATTTATTTTTATACAAATCATGTTTAAAATTAAACTTAAGACTAATGACATTATAATTTTTTTTTTCAGTACATGTTCGTAGTTTAACGACGGATGAAGATGTAAATCAAACTAGTGCACACATTACTGGTGGACCATTATTCGAAAAAAAATATACATTTTCTCACGTTCATATATATTGGGGAAACGAAGGTGAAGAAGGAAGTGAACACCAAATCAATTCCCAGGGGTAAATTGTATTTGATACTTAGTCGTTTCATAGTACCTAATTCGTTAAAAATGAATTAGCATTATTTTATATAATATTAATTTCGATACACATATTTTATGAGAGATAATGGACCACATGCGATTAATAAATATCGCGTAGACTGTATATAAGAGTAGCTACACTTTACCTTGTAAAACTATCAATCATTTTTTTTGAAGAAAATTATCATGACTGTACAATTAAATTCACATATTTTTGTAATAAGTATGTTCAATATTTGTCTCTGCTAGAACTTTTTTTGTACAAATTTTGAAATGTTGAAATGTTTATTGTTCATTATTGATTAGGTAATATTTTTAATAAATAGTTTCATTATTTGCTGTAGGTAAGTTATATACATATAACTTATGTATGTTGTTATTATATATTTATAACAAGTTGCATACAAAATTGATAACTTAATGGTTCGCTAAGTTTGAATTGACCACGGCTGACTAAATACTTGATGTATGAAGGATAAATAATCATAATTAGTTCACTTTTGATTCATTTCATATTAAGTTATTGTTTATGCAACCTGACATTTACATTTTAATATCAAATCCGTCATCAAATACTAACAGTGTTCATTATTTTAATATTTTATTCGAATTTAATTTTAGTAAAAATAGTTACCATAAAATCATTCATTTTTAGCTATCCAATAGAAGTTCAAATGATACATTATAAAAATGAATATGAACATTACGGAAATGCTATTAACTATCCTGATGGTATTTGCATTATTTCATATTTTGGAAAAGTAAGTATAAAAACGGGGAGGGGGTAGAGTAGGTTATAACATCTCTCCTATATAGTAGTTGTCGAGTGTATCTTGTTATTGAGTAAGTAGCTGAATGTATGACATGTTAAATTGTAATAAATCATTGCATACGAATAACGATTCTGAGCGAAGACGATCTATCACCTTATATTACGAAGTAACTTTATTCTATAATATACTTATATTGCTTGTTAATTTGACTATTAGTAATAAGATACTAGTAATAATCGTTATTTTACTCGAGTATAACCAATTTCGTCAGAATTTGAACTTCAGATGCTCAATAATTATTTTTGGGTTTTTTAAATTAATTAAAATTTTTTTTTTTGTTATTGTTCTGAAAATTTTTCTGTAACTTTTGTAAGAAAAACGTACATGGTACCTTGCATTACATTTTCAAGCCTGCGCTATGAATACCTATTAAAAATTCTATAAGTTTTATAGGTACTTCAAAATAATTTGTACATTTTGGTGATCTTGATGAACAAATCGTAACAATTTCGTAAACATTAAAACATAAGACGCATATAGAAAAATTATTTTGCACATTATTATGCATGATTGTTGTGTACTTATTAACATTTTTTTTTTATGTGTAATACATAATCTATGCTCATTCAATGCACTATATAAGCGTAGAGATGAGAATAATGTTGATTGCTAATTACATGAGAAAGTTGTCACTAAATAGCGACACTTCGAATAGGAGTGGTCTTCTTTTAAGGCGATTGCGTTTTTTGAAGCAAGTGCCAGCAGCCAACAATTATATCATTGGAATAATTGAGTGAAAAGTGGCAGAGACGATATATGTGACTATTTCTTCTATACATAGTATGTATATAGAAATTTAGAGTTTGGTATTTAACAGTAATGAACATTACCTAGTAAGATAGAGAATTTTGGATTGAAAAGTTTGAATTTTTGAGGACCTCTGTACTTGGATTCCATGTACCATAAATACATAAATACATCCATACATACATATTTAAGAATAAATTAAGAAATATGTAATAATACAATTCTAAATTTTGATTTGGACAATAGATTGTGAAGTAAATACCTAAGCATTTTCTATTCTTGAAACATACCAAATCTTGTTTTCATGTAAATGGGAACTTCAAGTGTGCCGCTTGTCAAACGTAATGCATAAATATTTGGTTGAAGTAAAATGTTGTATTTGTACTTCATTAAAAGTTACACTTAGGTGGAATCTTTGTCTTAAGGAAAGGGTAATTTAAACTGATTTGGCCTCATTAACTTTTAGGCGCTATTTGATGTAACAAATGGATTGTTACTTTAAATGGTTGGTGAGCAATGATTAGATCGTCAAGGGAGGCGAATGTTGCTTTGTGGCCGATGCTATTATTAAGAGTTTATTAGTCAGAGGAATAGATGATGTGAAGGAGAAAACCAATTGAAACAAATATTATCCTTTAGGGACGCCATTTTGATTATGAAGGTGTAGTTGAGAGGTCTGGCTGATCACAAACAGCGAAAGAGTTAAATTGAATTTGATAACAAGGTGATATTAGCGAGGCACAGAATATGTTTTAATTTAAAAAGAAGACCTTGGTGCCCGACTTCATCAGACTTCCAAGAAATCAAAGGTTTTAAACAAAACTTTTTCAAACGCTGTGGCTAAATTATATTAATTAGTCGTTGTATTTGATGTGCATCAAAGAGTTATCTAAAAAATAAAAATAAAATTAGGTATTTGGTCGGATTTTTTTAGAATAAATACATTTTATATTTTTGATCAAAATTTTTCAAAAATTTCCGAAAGTAGGTGTATCATACTTTTTTCTTTGATTTATTGATGAGGGTAGACGTAGATAATCGTTTCTATTGTGTAGCAATGTAGAATAGACAAAAATATGTGTTAGTAATAGAATTTCATTTCGGGAGATTTTTTTTAGCTACCTATATTAGAAGTAATGAGATTAAATCGAGGTAATTTTTAAAGGGATTCTTTTTATAAAAGTTGACGACTTCGTTAGGTGTGAATTGCTTTGGAGGAAATGATATTGGAAATGGAAATATGAGTTTTTTTTAATTATTTGGTTTCCTTAATGGTCATTAAAAGTGCAACAATTTGTGTGTGTGTGTGTGTGTGTGTGTGTGTGTGTGTGTGTGTGTGTGTGTGGGGGGGGGGTTCTAAAAAAAACGGTTTCATTGTACTAAATAATTGCTAGGTTCCATTCTTATTTTTTAAAGATAGGAAGGGAATTTGTAGTTTAGGATTTTGCATGTTGTTCTTCAAAGTGAATTATCAAATATTTTAATAGCAACTAGACTATAAGAGTAAGCTATACGAGTCGACTTTAAATTTGCAAGTATTTTTTTAATTGATTGCGTACTGTGGTTGATAATTATTTATGAACGCTAGATTTTATAATAAACAACCGAGATAACTGTCAAGTTATATAAATTTAAAATTATTTTAGTGTAAATAAGCAAGTGACGCCGTGCAATAGTGGAATAAAGACTCCTCGGCCCAACTGTTTATACAATTTAAGTTTTTAAAAATACATAAGGGAAAAAATCGTTTTTAAAGCAAGGTTTGAATTGTAGTAGCGTATTTATGTGAGCAAATAGAATTATCTACAACTTATTATTTTTTGTTGTTTGTACATTAGTGATAGAGAGAACGGGGAAGACCTTATATTTAAAATGTATTTACCTTCCCAGTTAAATAATCAGGTCCTCTAGACAGAACTTATAACACGATTATACTCTTTTGAATTAAAATTTTATTTGAGAATGTAATATAATTATAATTGATAACATTAATCATTGTTTTTAATATTTATAGTTATCAGATCAAGATAATCCAAAATTGAATGCGCTTATCACAGCTGTGGAAGCCGTTCAATATCCTAAATTATACACTTTTTATTCAACATTTGATGTTCACTTTCATTGGTTGATGGAAGTAGCTAAAGATTATTGTTACTATGCATATCCGGGATCGATAACTGTACATCCATTTTATCAGTGTGTCACGTGGATTATATATGAAAATACTTTCAATATTAGTCCAGGACAAGTAAGTTAATAAGATTTAAATTGTAAATAGATTCATTAGTAAGTATATTATTGTATAATATAGTTAGTATCATTAATTTTGTTTAATATTTATGTAGTTGGCAGTTTTTCGTTCTTTAAAAGGAACCGATGGTAATTATTTAACAAGTATAAGGCGAAGAGCATTACATCCATTCAATAATCGGCCACTTTGTTATGTCTAATCATAAAATTATTTGTACGTAATTTGTTTAAAATGCAATTATGTAGTAGGTACCTTAAGTGCCATTACAAAGGTATATTAGAGTCGAGATGAAATGATTAAATCAATTCAATATAATATTTAAATGTTATACAGTAGGTATATATTAGCGCACTTTTTTGTATAATATTTGGTATATGTAAATAATATGTATATTGTGTGTTGATAATTATAAAACCATATGCGTGGATAAGAAATTGATGTATTGTTATTCATGATAGTCTAATACATTATATTTTTAATTTTAAACAAAAACATAGCTTGTTAATGAGTGTTTTTTTTTTTTTAAATAACTTTTCTGTGAACTTTTTTTGCCTTTTCTTTGAAAGAAAGTGATATGACATCTATGAACCATATTAAAAGATAAATCAGGATTCGAGTCCTGATATGGATTTTAAGATGTCAATTTTTGATTTTCTCAACAGTTTTTCCCCATGTGTCTCCTATATTATATGCGTAGATACTTATAAGAAAAAATTACAAATATTAACATATTATTATGGTGAACTCTTATTATTATTATTATTATTATTAATAATGAAAATATGATATTGGACATTACCTACTGATTAGTCATTACTCAATATGGTTTTGCATCCCAAGCGAACTATTGATAATTTTTCACGGAAATTATTTTGTAAGAATTCACATTCAATGGTGTTATCAAAATATTAAACATGGACATTATACTATAGAATATGATAAGCAGAGTAAAATTAGATATATGGATATATTAAGTATATAATATGGACTACAAAATGTACGTGATCCATTGTTCACACTAGCATGCTTTTTACTGCAGAGGCCTTCCATCGGCGAGGTACTACGACTCAGTAGCATGCTTACATCATTGTATTTATACTACATACCTACCTACTGTAAATACATATCTACAGTGTTTTATATGTACCTACCTATGTTAGTAAATAACACCTAATTATTGTGTTTTCGACTACGAAAAAAGATAAGTATAGATATCAGTGTGTATTACCAGCCGAAAAAAAGTAACAATAACAGGTAGGTAGATGCTCTAATGTGTTTTTAATTGTGATATATGATAATAAACCGACTGTTAATTAATGACGAGTAAACAATAGCCTATTATCCAAACGCGTAGGTGTACCTTTTATGTAAGCGTTTGCGTTTAAATCGGACAAACGTTGCTGTAGTTATATAATTTGCAAATACGAATTTACACAGTTGTGGTGGCTCGCGAGTAAAACAACGAGTGAAAAAATCAAACTAATAATGTAATAAACATTTTTTTATCACCCACGTGTTAATAGCTATTAAGCTAGTTATATACTGCATGTATACATAGTGTACCAGCTAATGTTAAGGTTTGCAGGACAACCAAGCGACACATCTTTCGAATTCTAGTATTAAAACACATTTTCTTTTTTATTCTTAGAAAACTTTTAAAACAATTGCAGCTCAAATTGTATTTTAAATGAGCGAGTTTAAAATCCCACAAAAGATAATGCAGGTAAAATACTTATGCATTGGTGTATTATGAATATTGTAGTGTTTTTATCCCATAACTAGACAGTGGCATACCTGCCCATAAATTTATTGGGATCAATACTCAAAAAATCGTCGTTTCGGAATGAAGGGATGAACGTATTGATTTTACAATGATATGTGTTATTTTTTAGAAATTCTTTTGGGTCTGAAGATATTTTTTTCTTGTACCTAGTTCAAAAAGTATTAATCGTACAACTAGAAACATTCCACTGTTAAATTATAGTTTTTTATACACAACGAATATTTAAAAACATTTATATTAAGTTTAAACTAATTTTTAATTTTCAATTTTTTTTCAAGGTATTTATTTATTTAAAATATGTGAATATGGCAATTTATACTTATGATATTATGATTTCAGTTTCAATTTTTATATAACCTGTCATATCTTTATTATTTCAATATCACTTTAGAAACCACTCAACTATAGATAAAAAGGTACCTAACATGAATTGCGTCAGGGACTCAATTCATTCAAAAATATTCGTTTACCTGTTTTGGTACGCAATTCGTGTGAGCCCATTAGTACTATGTTGAAGGATGAAGGTTCATAGTAAGTAAAAGTGTTCCTACTGAAACCCAAACGTCTGAATAATATAATATAATTATGACAGTTTTTTTTTTATTGACATTTAAAGTTTAGATTTCGACAAATAATGATTTTTAGTTTTTTTTAGTGATTTAGATGTTGGGGAAGTTGGCACTTTTATTGTATTTTATTGTATTTTACTATTCACACTGACTTTTAAAAAAATAATTGGATTAACATTTTAAGTTTTTGAATATTTATGTCACGAACCTATTCAAACAGTTCCAAGATGAGTTGGTATTGACTTAAAAGTTAATTATTATAACAATAATATATCATACAAATATGATATAAATGCGATGTTTTAGGAAATAAATAGTTCAACCTAAGTACCTACCGTATAGCTAACAATAAAATAAAATATGATAATAATATCAATAGAAATATAATAAAATATAATTTCGTATTAAAGATTGACAGACAGTTTTTGCTCAGAATCGTTTGTCGTATTCTATGATTTATCATAGAACTCAAATTGAATACAATAATACATAATACCAATATCAGTGACCTAGGCGTCATCTAGTCAATGACTGGGTACATTCAACATTTACGGTTATAAACTTATATCTACGTCTTATTAATCGTCTTTTCCTGGCTTATTAATTTATTATCCTTATATAAATTAAATTAAAATTTTTTAAAAAAATATATACATTTTTGTAACTTAACGATAACTTTTTCAATCGTTCAAAACGTTTCATATGAAGTTGAATAAGGTAATATGAATTTTAACTTAAACTCGATGATGTAGCATAATATAAAGGCTCCTTAAATGATTCTCTGCAAAATTAAAAATAGTTGCCTTATTAAAAAAAATCATATTTTAGTATTTTACTATCAATATTACATTATTACCATCTTATTGTATCTCATAAATTGGTTTTTTATAAACTTCCTGGAAATTGTAGTTACTGCAGGACTGAGTTTAATGTTGTACAACAGGTAATGTATTATTATATGCATGAGCATATGACATGCTCATGTAAGGCGGAAATAAATTCGCTTCAGTGTACGAAGAAAATAGGTATTAAATAACATTATATGACAGTCGCCAGGAAGACGTGTCGTGTGCACTGCACAGAGTGCAGTTGCCATCATGCCCATCCGTCTGTGGTCCGCGCAATCTCTATTCTCTAATTTCAGACTGGTAGACGACCGCCAATGTGCAAAAAGCTGATGTTTCGGTGCTATTAAAATCAGCTGCTGGTGTGGTATACTGTAATATTTATTATTTATTAATTTTCAGAGTGTGTCAGTGTGGCACCTAACCGATGGACCAACGTTGTCTCATTAATCGGGATATTGCTTTATGTCTTTACATAATGTCAAAATAATTATTTTGTTCACTAATCGCACTGTATATCAGTGTCAGCGGCGATTGCCGGTCAAACTTGGCACCGAAGGGCATAAATGATAAATAATGAATGACTCATTGATACCTCACATCTAAATACATGTTATTATAATATTATAATTCAGTTGCCTCACAGCCATAGATATTAAAGAATGGATAGGCAACGAGCATTAAAATGTAATAATATTGAAGTGTGCAGGAAGGGGGAAGAGAGACTATTTTTATCATTGTTTCTCATACTGGTAGACAGATAATTATTTTGTATAATTTAATATTAATATCTAAGAGGTCTTATCATATTATATATAATTATGCATAAATATATTTGTGACACGATTTAATATAACCACGGACTAAGAATATTGTATCTTAGTCCGTGAATAGACCAGTATCGAGCACGATAGTAAAGAACTTTATAATATTGTGGTATCGCACTATCGCGTATTCCCAGTCGTGTCAAACAATTGTTCAAATGGTGGGGGATATCGATTGTTTTTTATTTTTGACCATCGAGACCCGCGCAACGCTGATCTTCAAACGAGCAAAAATTCCACATTTTAAACTGGCAGATACCAACTTGTACAAAACCTTTGAAATTCGTTATTATAACATATTATGTTATCTTTCTCTTAAGTCTTCTCCGTTTTCTGCTTTTAAAGTTGTATTGTTTTGCCGGTTACTTATCAGTATCATAACCGTTCGATAGTATTTTGCGAAATATATTTACGGTACGCGATAGTAGACTATCGAGTATCGATGTTTTTAGGCCAATAGCTACTTCGACCTCTACACCATCATCAAAATACAATACCTATCAATGCATCATAATTCATCAGTTATAACTTATAGAAATATAAGACATAAATTCTTAACACTGAACATACTGAACATTATACAGTCGTCCACTGGCAGTCAAATATTTACAATTCACATCACTAAAAAATTAGACACCGTAAACTATATATAATTTATTTCTAAGTCTCACTCGAGTCCATCCACAGCGTTATTTGTATGTTAGTTATTTTTTTAATTTAGACACTTTTATTTCACTCATTCCGTGGTTTATTAAATATAGTATAAATGTTTTTTACGTTCAACGGAATCAATCTTACTACGATGACATCCTGTTTTGTGTGCAGGCAATGACTTTCTGGCCATTACCCGTATTGCACTTTAACTGAACTCGAAGGTATAACATTACAAAGTACAAACTTCAATGATTTAATTGGCAAGAAAGTGTGGGTAGGAGGATATAGAAAATAAATAATATTTACACTATAATAATATTATAATAACAACAATAATAAGTTATAACCGGTAAACATCGCACGTGTACCTCCTACCAATTCCATTTAGTCACTTGTAAATTGTAATTATTCTGTGATCGTGATTATAAAGTTATAACCGCCAACCGTGTTATATCAGTAAAAGATAACAAGTATTTTATATCCCTTCTTTTTCATTAAGTCATGAACATGTAAATGCTTATTACAATACTTGAGTGATAACAGGCCTATATTATACTGATAAGCAATCATTTTAATACTTCTGTCAACACCCTTTACTTTTGGCACTGATGGCACTTCAGCAATCCAAGTATCTGAAGTATCGGTGTTTTGTGGTTCAATAATGAGAAATATTATTCACACTTTGTTGTCCACACTATTTAATTCAACCATCATTGATATTTATAAATAAGGTAGACTTCATCGATACAATTTCTCAATAATTACTCAAATAATATACATAATTATTAATTAAATTTCCACTTATAAAATTACAGTTCAATCGTTAGCTTGAGGAACTATTACGTCACATATCATTTAACAATTTTAAGTTATGCTTTTATTAATTATTTAAATTAAAAAACAAAACTAGGTTTACCTATAATTTAACTTTGTCTACGAATTTTAAAATATTGATAAAATGTATATATTTGTCTTAAGTCATAACGTTATTCTGTTTCTTTTTAGAATTTTTACTATACATGATTTAAAATTGTACTTATAGGTACGCCTTGATGTTAATTTGTGTAGACTTCACAACTTTCGTTCTGAAGGGTGATACCACATTTTGGGAACCCGTTATAATCAATTGTCGCAAATGCATTACCAACTTCATGTTCATGGCACATAACACCATCCTCGGGGCAAAAATATTCGAGCGACTTCACTTTCACTAAACTAAGTTTTTCAAGCAGTTCGGCAGTTCGCCTATTCAGAGATAAATATAATTATTTATTAGTTCATAATCAATTAATTTATTATGAGTTTTGATGAATATGAGACCATACCATCATCTAATGTGACTGATCACATGATGGCTGGTGCCATTGCAGGAATTATGGAACATTGTGTAATGTACCCTCTAGATTCTGTAAAGGTAAGTGTGTTAGTCTTGTACATATATTTTAGAAAGTACGTAATTTTATAGAATAAAATAATAATGGAAATCGTGTAAATGTGTACTGTGTATCTATCATTTATCACAATATCTTAAGGTACATTTGTAAATTAATACATTATTTAAAGTTTAGTAATTAGGGTAGGTACCTTCTTGTTTTAAAAATGAATATAAGAAATCTTGCCATGTATTAAATTTCCATGGTTCATGAGCTCTAGTCTTGAGTTCAGATTAAATTTTATTAAAGGACTTCCTTTTTATAGTTTTATTTTTGTTAATAAATAGGTCTTGATGATTTTTACTATATTTATGTTCTATAGTATAATTAATATACTCTCAGGTATATTTTAATTTTCATGGAAATATAAAATAAATGTGGGTGTTGTATATATATTACCTATATTATTATAGTTATTAGTAATACCTAACTTATTACAATTATAAATTAAGTTGGTTATACAATTAATTTTAGAATTCTTACATTAGTTTTTATTTTCAGTTTTTCTTCATAAAAAATTGAAAATTAATCAATCTCAAACTTAACCTGAAAGTACCTACTCATGTTTAATAATTCATCTTTAATACTATTAAACTTTAAGTTTGTTTGGGTAATTTGTGTGTATGGAACATAACCTTAATACAAAATCTGCTTAATAATCTTCCCTTTTTAATTCAGTAATAATGAATGTAGGAAATGATTACTTGACTGATATGACCTATGAAGATTATTCTTATCTTTTAAACTTTAATCAATTTTTCTTTTTTCTTTTAGACTCGGCTGCAGGCATTCATGCCATCTGGAAATGTAGGGAATCGAGGAATTGGCACTGTCCTTTTCAATATGATAAAACATGAAGGATATTTAAGACCAATGCGTGGGATGGGGACTGTTATTATAGGCGCTGGCCCTGCTCATGCTCTCTATTTTGCATCTTATGAACATTTGAAGCAAAAAATTTCCCATCAAACACCTTTAAATATGACGGTTTCCTCAGGTGTTGCTGGATGTGTTTCAACTATTATACATGATGCAATTATGACTCCAACAGATGGTAAAAATAGCAGTACTATATATTTTAACTGATAGTATTATATTTAAAAACATTTGTATTATTTTTTAGTTGTTAAACAACGTTTGCAAATGTCAAACTCACCATATAATGGTATTTTAAATTGCGTTAGTTCAATTTGGCGAACTGAAGGATTAGGAGCATTCTATCGTTCGTACATGGTACAATTGTTCATGAATGCACCATTTCAAATAGTTCATTTTATGACATATGAGTATTGTCAAAATTTTTTGAATCCAGATAGGATATACAATCCTTTATATCATATGATATCAGGGGGTGTTGCTGGAGGACTCGCCGCTGCCATAACAACGCCATTGGATGTATGCAAGACTCTGTTAAACACTCAAACTACAAATGTAAGTGAAATATCTCATTTTTACTTTTTGATTAATTTTCTCAATTATTAATACTAATAAGTATTCTATGAGCCAATGTGTTCTGTTACTAGGTCAGTAATAAAACAGAATTTAACCTATGTTAATGTATGCCATCAATCATCATAATACAATATCCATTAGTCATTTTACTCTACTATTTCTTATTAAATTCAAATATAAATCTATTAAAGCTAAAATTTAAGAAAATAAATCATGATTTTGGTATAACATTTTTTAGTATGAATATAAAAACGTACAAATCAGTATACAAACTATAATTTAATCATGAAAAACTAGGATTATAATACCTAATTCTAATTTAAAAGTATTTAAATGTAATTAATTAATTTTTTCTTATGCATTCTAACTGAACACAAAATAATATGTCAAGTAGTGAATTATTTATGTTGTCATGTTTATGCAAGGTTAGATTTCTATTGTTGATAGTAAATATTTTGTTATTGATTTATTTGAACCAATTGTCACAGTAAAATTTATTTGATTGTAGTTATGTAAGTAATATTATAAACAAATTTAATATCTTGCAGATGGAAATGATTTGATAAACAACAACTAGATAGATAATCTTTTTTTATTTGATTATATTTTTTTTTATTTCCACCATAATTTTTGTTCACACTTTATTTGAATACTATGTTCATAAACAACACATTTGAAAACTATAGTAGAAATGAGTTAAGCTTGTTTTTAGTTTCATAAATCATATGGGAAATTAAATATTTATAAATAATTTCATAAAATACAATTTAGAATTATGTACAATGACATAAACTACCTCTATAAATTAAGTACAAATGAGTGATTATTTAAGTATGGTTTTTTTTTTTAAATTAAGATTTTATTGCAATGATTTGACAATTTATTTTTGCCTTAAACACTTCTACATAAACAATCAGAATTCAGAACAAATTCTTATTTTAATTTGCCAAAACATTTTGTTCAAACAGTTAAAAGTAACTTTTGGTCAATAATGCGTTTTTTATCTAAAACTACTTCTATTTTGTTTTGAGCATGGTGCTCCTAAAGCTATTTTGAGTTCTAAATCTTTAAAAATAGGATATAAATTAATTGTTAGAGAGTTATTGTTTCAAACCAATAATATATTATATACCATAATGTTATAATTGTATTTGATCTTACTATTTTTTAAGTATAAAAATTAATATATTCTTCAGTATATACTGATTTAAATCATGATATTTAAGCTGTATTAAATTAATTTTTAAAGAAACTATTTCATTGTATTATGTTAAAATTGTATTAAAAGTTATAAAAACATAATAGTTTAAAATTTCTGAAAAAAATATTTTGTAAGGTAAATCATTTTCCATCAATTATTCATTCTGTTTATAATAAAGAATAATTATTTTGTTAAAGTGAATTTTATTTTTACATGGATATTTACATTTTTTTGGTGTACTTATTAATTATATAGTTAGGTTCATAGCAAAGCAAAGCAACTATTGGCTTTACAATATTTATTTTATTCTTAAGTAAAAAATCTAAACTTTAGTATGCCTTTAGAACGTAGTTATTTATGTTAAACTTTAAAGAAGAACACGGACAAGAGTTATGTTTTTAAAATGCAATTATTTATAATTACTTTCATATTCTATTAAAGAATCAGCTCTCAGTAACCAACTAGTATTTTTAATCTATTTTTATTAACTTTTTTGGTTTAGAAATAGTAATTTTGTTTAGTTACGGTTTTTTATTGTTCTATAAATTCTAAACATTTTTTTTAATTTGCTATAAATGGAGGGCATACATACTGCTTCTTGATAGTATGTTGGAACCATTATTTCTTGAAATTGGATCAGGGTCAGATTGAACACCTGTCACATTAGGTACATTGTACCTGGTAGGGGAATAGCTTTGAAATTGTTATCTATACATTATTTAAATTATTTTCCTGTTACCATAAGTTAATTAATAATTGTGATATGTAGGCATGTGTTTAATTACTTAGGTCAATGTTGTGAATATTATAATTAATTACAATTAGAAATAGGATTTGAATTATATAATTTGCAGCTAAATACTCGAGTATTTTTAATATAATATTTACGTAGGTAACAAATTATTTTAATTGTGTAAAAAATGTTTCTTAAAAGAAAGCTTTTGACAATTTAAATATAAAGAGTCAAAGTTTGAATAGAAAAAAAATTTAAAACACTGTTTTTTTGAATAATTTTTAAAACATGTCAATATCTAATAATTTATGTATTAATAATAATAATAATACAATATTGAATTGAAAGCTTAATTTTTATTAAAGTCTACACAAACAATCTTATGTATGCACAGCAGATAAATAGATTTCAAACAAAAGTGTATCAAAATGTTAACTCCTAAACTTATTCTGTAATAAATAACTAAGTATGAACATTCAATAGGTTCAATGGCAGATGGCCAATTTAAATGGTAAATTTACCCATTATAAATGTTCTGTATTATAGTGTTCCTACTACCTATATAAGATATACTATTTTTAATGTACTATTTTGTAAATTATTACCTTTATGAAAGTAATTTAATCAACATACTTTAATGATTGGATCTTATTTCATAGGTAACTAGATAGACATTCTGTTTTTATAACACTAATTTGTAAATAATTTGCCTTTATAAATCATATAATAAACTTATTTTTATGATTGGATTTTATTTCAAAGACAACTAGTATAACAGACTAATAAATTATTATTTTTTCAAAAATATGTTTGATGTTATAAATTGAATTTAAAAAAGCTGAAAAGCTGTAATTTTTAGTTAAATAAAAATAAAACTTGAGACATTTATTGACACTACATGATTCAATTTTATATTCCAAAGTGTAAATAAATATATTTTCCGTGAATATTAGGTTAATGTAAAAACTAATTAAATTAATTAGTATAAAATATAGGTTTTAGTTCAAGTTTTGTAATTAATAAAAATGTACTTTGTCTATACTAAACTTTTATGTGTAAAACTAATATTACGAGTAATGACTTTATTATTCACAACTTTTTTCAGTGATCAGAATTTATTTAAAATAAGATATGATTTTAATTGATAGCCTAGATTTTAGTTTCAATTTTTTTTAGTATTTCAAACCTGATTTTTCATTTTTAGTTTGATTGCTGTATTGTAAAATTATAAAATATTAAGTATATTTTATATTTCAGTTATCAATTTTTAAAATGTAGTTAGCTTACCTACATCTAATTTTTTTTGAATCTCTAAAAATATATTATGCTAAATCTGTAATCAAAACTTATTACTTTAATGCACTCTTTCAGTTTTCCTATTTTTATATTTTTTGTTCCTATATTTTTATGTTAAGATGAAGTTGCAGCCACATGTATTGTCTCTGTTTTATACAGGTATGACATGGCACATTTTTGTTCTCTAGTTTCTATAGTGTGCTATTAGTTTTGATATAAGAGTGAATTGACCTATTATCAAACTTCTAGGTAAGAACATTATCTGTGCTCTCTTGTTGGTTAGGTTTTTTAAGTGAATTATGAGCATTTTCAAATATTAATACTTTAAATACTCATACCTCACTTAAAAATTAAAATATTGTAAAACTAGTGAACAAAAATTTGTTATGTCATACCTGTATAAGGTGGAGACAACACACATGGGTGCGACGTCATCTAAATGGTGTATGTGACAAAGTTCAGCTATACCATTTCATAATGTATCATGATTATCCACTTGAATTTATGAATGATATAATCCTTTATTATAGTTATTATAAATCTTAAAGTATTATGATATTTAGTTGTTGAAACACTTAAGTTGTATATTTTCACATTAATAACTAATGAATTTTGAATTTTTTTTGTATGATCTATTTTTAAGTTTATTCAATTGAAGTATTAATATTTACCTATTGGCTATCAGCATGTTAGCACAATTAGGTATGTTGGTGACTAGGTTAAAAAGTCACTTACATAATAACCATAATAAGTTGTAGATTACCTCTTATTAAAGTTATACAATCCTTAAATAATGAAACTTTTTTTTTTGTAACTATGTTAACGTTATTAAATCGTTAAATTATTTAATCCAAATTTTCATTCTCAAATTAAAAATATAATGAATAATGATGTTGAAAATATAAATTATTTTTATTCAAAGTAGTTATATATGCATAGACATTTCTGCAAAGAAGAAGTGCAAGTTCATAGGTTATTTTTTAGCTTGTTCATGAATATTAATTATGTACAATTATAAATGTGGGCTATATAATTTTACAAAGAAACAAGCTTTAAAAAAATGTAATTATCCATTGCATGGGTGGTTAATTTTACTATACTCAATTAGTTGCTAATTAATATTATTAGTTCTTTATGTTTTACTACTATAATAATTATTGTTCTTATAGCTTATATATTATTTAATTCTTGTATGATTCTATTTTGCATTGGTTACTAGTTTATATTATATTATTTTCATTTATCATTCTTTATTTTATTATGAATTAGACATTAGTCCAATTTATGTATTTAGTAGCCAATGTTTTTAATTGAATGCCAAACTTTCATAAATCCTGTTAATGTAAAGTTAAGTTTTACCATTTAATAGCTGTAACATATGTATTATAATCAGTAAATATTAAAATTGAATATTAAAACTTGTGATTTAATAAAGTAAATATTTAAATTCATAATGTAAATTTTTTTTCTCATTTTCTAGGTAAGAGTTGAAGGTTTATTCCGTGCAGTCACAACTGTTTATACCTTGGGTGGTCCCGGAGGATTTTTTAGAGGTATGGTAGCTCGTGTCTTGTACCAAATGCCATCAACAGCCATATCCTGGACGACTTATGAATTTTTCAAATTTGTACTAATGAAGAAATCAAACATTTCTGATGATCGACCACCTCCTCCACCTCCTCCAATAAGTTCATCATTGGTAAATGAAAAAATAACAAAAAAAACTAGCGTTCGATGTGATTTGCCTGTAGCCTCAAGATCACGTATATATAGTCATTATACAGTTAGAGATGATGGGTCTAAAGGTCAGCAATTTTAGGTTAGTATTGAGTTACATGGTCTAAACTAGTATATTGTGGGCAGGCATTAGTTTATTATGTATACAAATTGTTTTTAAATTAGGCTTGTTATTAATTGCATAATATTGCGTATCCAGATTAAATTTTTAGTTTCAGGTGTTCAGTATTAAATTGCATAATGTATAAAGAAAAAATAGAAATTATGAAAGCACAAAGGAGTTAATAATGTTTTTAAAAACTGTGGGTTTATGGCAAATATTAACATTTAAGAGGAATTCATATTTTTAAAGTTTCATTCTTCTTAAAGTTCAAAATGATATCTATATTCATACTCACTTTATATTTTAAATATTGATTACTTGGTTAGTGAGCAAAATTATAATATTATTGTTATTTGTATACCTTTAAATTTTTTCTCTGTCCCAAACTCAATTCCTATGATTAATTTAAAAAAACTGTATGTATGTATATATATATACATATATGCTCTTATATAATATTAACCAAACAGATATATTGTATATATTTATGTTATTTTATTAGTGTATAATATACAACATGTATAAATGTATATAATACTATCTATGTACAATATATTTATTTGGTTAAAATGTAAAAATAAGTATTGACCCTTATTTTCTAATTCTTATAACACTGTCAAAATAGTTAAAATAGTGTTTCTGTAGAATAAATATACATCTAGTAGCTTTTATATATGTATTATATATGTATATTTATAAAAACGCCTTACATTTTGGACAAAAAGCGCAAGCATAAAAGTTGTCAGCAGAGACATTTTTAAAATTTTGAGAGACACAATTATTTGAACCATAATTTTTCTTTCTATTCAGTTCAATCATAAATATTTTAAGTAATAAAATATTAAAATGTATATAATTTACCCAACAATTATGGTGTATTTTTAGTTATAAAAGTAAGGAAGTTATTTAAATTACAATAAGTTGTATTTTTTTGCTGTTTTGATTTTGATGTATTAGTTAAGTGTTTCTGTTCAAAAGATCACTACTAACTTCTTGTAATCGTTGTTTTTTATAGTCCCAAGTTCGAAGACAATATTTTTGTAGTCTTCTATTGTGTTATTTTAGTTGATTGTAATACTAACTACTTTCTAAGGTATCATTTAAATAGTTATTAGTTGTTTTACCGTGTTTATAACAATATTATTAGGATCTTGTGTTTTACTATCCAAGAATATAAGTTATTACTGATTAAAATACTTCACTTTACAATACAAGACATACCCATCTTAAAATTTATGGACTTGTAATTTAACAAGTCTATATATGTTTTTTAAATATATAAAAACAAGTTAGGTGTATTAAAAATGTTAAAATGTCTTTTTGTCTGTGATATGTTCATTTATTTTTATTATTATTATTATTATTATTACTATTATTATTACTTTTTGTTATATGATATGTTTTTGTTATTATAACGATGTTCACTTTGGAGGAAAGTAATATCATTATGTTAACGTTTGATACAAATTTGAAATAATTTTATTTTTATAAAAAAATTAAGAACGATAAAATGCAATGTGTATGGTTACAATAACAAATAATATTATGAATAATAAACACTTAAAGTGTAAATGCTAATTAATGAAATTAAATTGTTACAATGATTAAGTTTATTCAATATTTTATGTACATCACAAGGTTTTTACTACCAAGTGATTACTATTTATTTTGTATATGTACAGTACCTACTATATTTAATATTCATAGAAATAGTTACAGCTAAATAGTAAAGAAAATCAACATTTTTTTCTTGTAAATCTAGTATATGCCTCACAAAAATGACATTTCTGTTAACCATTATATATCATCATGTAAACAACTTATTGCTCATTTTAAGCGAATGTTGTAAAAAAAATAAAACATACAGACAATAAAAACACCATTATAATTATTTTTGTTATATATTGTTAATAATTAAATCCCTCTAAAATCATAAACTGTTATTGGAAAATAGGTGTCAGTTTTTTTCAAATAATGATACCTATTTAAATATAAACAAATTTAAGAACAAATATTATACTTATGTTTCTTTTAATATTTATGTGAACCTATTGTTATCCCATTTGTTGTAAATGTTTTTGTTTTTGTTACTGTTTTGTATACAAGAATTAATTTTACTGGAATTCCTGGTTGAAGCAACATTATATCTTAGTACATCTGTCAGTACATATTTTTGAAGTATGTCTACTTTTATGATAAGACAGCTTACAATTCAATTAGGTCTTCGTCATTTTTTTCATAATGAAGAGTATGTAAATACTAGAATACTAAGTAGGTTTCTTGTAAAATTAATGTTTCATTTTTGACGTATAATTTGGAGGTTAAGAAAAAACAATTGCTTATAAAGTGGTATTAAAATTGATTCATAATTATTATTTGTGTATGTATTTGAAGAAATGAAATTCGACTTCTCTGAAGTTGGAAGTTTCTATATGTTTATCTACTTTGCTTAGGGACAATAAATTACTATCAAACAATTTCATACACGGTTTTCACAAAAAGAACTTTTACCGTGTCCATGTCGATTACGGGTAAATGATTTATCTCAAACATTACGTGAAAACCTCTTCGTGACTTTTCTCGTATAACAAAAGAAGGACGCTATACTCGCATGTGTTGTCTGTTTAACAAATGTACTACATAACAAAAACTGTTTTGAGCGGGACAACTATACTCCTTCTGTAATTATAGTAGAATTTCCAAAATTCCACAACGCATAGGGAATAACTTTAATTGTGTCTTAGCGTTTTTATTTTTACTTTTTTGATAACACTGACCAATAGTTTTTAATAATTAAATGGAAAAAGAAAACCTTATGTTCTCAAACTGATAACTTTAATTGTATTTATGTTATCTGAATAATAATAATTCTACGCCATAAATAAAGATCTTCCATATGCGTTGTGGAATTTTGGTAATTTTACTATGAATAGAGAGGAAGTATACCTAGTTGTCCCGTGAAAAGAGTTTTTGCTATGTTGTATGTACACTTGTAAAATGGAGACGTCACTTGCGTCCTCTTAAATGTGTCTATTTATCTAATTACGTCATGCGCATATTTTTATGGCTACACCACCCTACCGCTTCATAATGGTTGTCACTAATTATAACAGATATTCAATAATTACATTTCACCAACCCTAACTTTATATGTACGGCTTATGGTTTTTGATTTAGATATATTATTGACATATTCTATTTGGAAATTAATTATTATTGAAAATGTTAGTAAAAATCACTAAAAAAGTTACTCGTTATTAATAGTTGATAGTTATTATAGTTTTGAATATCATTAAACTCATATATTTTTTTGGTGAATCTTAATGATACATAAATATCTTTAAAACGTTATTTATGTTGATTGAGAAATGAAAACTTACTTTCATTCACTATTTATTAAGAACAAGTGATATATACGTAATTCGTTATTACGTATAGGTAGGTATTATAATTACTTATGTGTTATTAAGTGTTTTTAAATTTTACCACTTATATTATACCTCAATATTAAATTTCTTATTCTCTTACTAAATTATTATATTTTTTATGAGTTAGGTACATAATATTATTTTGTTGTTGCCCTTGCGGTGTCCTAAATACTCAAATAAGCCGTTTTGATTTGAATCATTATATCTACTGTTTCACGATACACGATTAAAATGTTTCTTCCATTTACAGTTTTACAATTTTTAAATAAACATTTTTTTTACATTTATGAATTTTGAATACATCTGTATGTACTGTGGCTTTAAAATATTTTTAAAAAGATCGCTTAAAAATGTTTTTTTTGTTTTTAACAGAATAATGTTACCGAACCCTGTTCGAGGTGAAAAAACAAACAAATCCAATACAGTATTATATAATCATATATATTTACGTTTTGATCTCCTTCATTGAGCCCGTTCATAACTTTGAACTTTGAAGTAAACGTTTTCAACTTGCGGCCGTCTCTGTATATCACTTTGAATAAGAGATACGATTTGTAAGTGAATTAAACTTAAAAATGAAAACGCCATGAGTCACTACTATAAATTGTAGTTTACGCCACACACTGCAGAAACATTAACTGCTGGTATTGTTTTGAACTCAGTATTTGATACGCGTTTTATTTAATTTTGTCATTTATTGTTGCTGCAGAGGTTTGAAAATTGTCAACTACCCATACAATATATGTACACTGTTGCAATGAAATGGATATTAGTATTTATTTAGTGCTGTAAAAAAAAAAATGGTTTGTTGGTTCATAACCCACACTTAACACTTTATTATTGTTCATATACTTATAGGTATACGTACCACTTACAGTGGTCAATTGCAACTCGTAGATCAAAGGTAGTGGGGATGGCAAACTGTCCTGAGGCTATGTTGGAAAAATTATATCTATTACCTATCGATGTTTAAATTTTATAAAGATTATATTTTGTCTTAAAATAGAAAAAAAAAATTAGATACGTCTATAACTTCACTTAAAATTGACAAATTTTTATAAGATATTATTTATAATTACATTATGTGACTTAAACGTAAATGGTGCAGAGATTTATTGCATTGAACTAAAAAAAAGACTCATACAATTAAAACACATAAGACCTACATCAAATTGAACGTGTCACCAGTGGGTGGCTTCTTTCCTCAAATTATGTAACTCTTAATTATTGTGTAACTTCTACTTTTTTTTTCTTAACTCATTTATACTCATATCTATTATATAAATGTATATTTTCTTAAAAAAAAAAATTATATTCATTGAATTTGTTAATACCAAAGGATTAAGATTCTGTACTATTGTGGATTTTTATGTTGAAATAATTTCGTCCGTCAATAATCATCGGTATCTCTAGAACAGTAGAATCATTTGGTTATATCCCTAGTGCCTGTCGACCGATTTACTACCTATAGGCTATAGGCTTATATCTTATATAATATATTCATACATACCTAAGATTTTGTCTGCAGTGGCAAGATCAGGATAAATCCTAAAGTTTCTCAGTTCTTACATATGTATATACTTACTGTTCTACCCGTTCAAAGTTGTCGGCGCTTTTTGTTCGTTACCTCTAACCGCTGTCGACCCATATAGCCATCCTTGACTTGCCCCTAACAATCGGTGTAGGCTGCGACTCGATGCGGAATATAATCACTCACCAATTTCATCCAGTAGTTCGTCAAGAATGGATATAAGTAACTTTATTATAATAAACCTACCTATAGTTACCATATTATATTGTCTACCTATATAAATAAAGGAGACATGCTTCGGCAATATATTATAACGTGTGCGATACATTGCCAGGGTACGATGGCTATAAGTGGCGATTTTAAGGGTATGGACCCGAATAATCTTGTACTATATGTTACACACATACAAGTGTTATGATTGTACACATACCTATACGATAAGTTGTGCATTAGTATAAATAAATGGTCAAAACGCTAACCTTCACGGTAGGAAAATGGGCTATGTACCTTGTACCTATAGCCTTACAAATCGTATTCCAAAATCCAAATGTATACCTACGAATTCAGATATATGAGTTATATTATACTCGTGTAGTTGTGTATATCCGTGGCGACATGTCCGCGTCTGAGTTAGTTCCAAAATTATTCCGTATTGGTGTAATGGTGTTGGTTAGGTATTACACTTGCCTATACAGAGTGATTTTTTTATCATTGAACACTATGTTGTAATATCAAATCTCAAACGGTATTGCGCCTATAATCGTATATCAACCGTATATGTTTAATTATTATACTATACTTATCCAAATTATATGTACCTGGTAAATGTAGATACATAATTAGTTTTCACTTAAGAAACAATACTTATTCAAATATTAATATTTTGTTATATTTGTTAAATTTGTTATATTATAATACAGTGCTGAAATAATATTAAGATTCTTAACTAGATACATACACCGTATTTAAATAACCATATAAATAATAAACGTATAATATACCTACTGGTAGATAATGTAAAAAAATGTACAAAGCTTTGTAACGGTATAATATATATGGTACCTATTCTATAAACTATAATTAAACTTAAATGAAAAACGTATCATCTACTTGATAGTTTAATGGTTTTAGCCTTTTAAGAATATATTGTAGGTGATACCTACCTACTCGTTGTCGTAGATACCTTTTAACGTAGGTATCTCTAACAGTTAACCTAGGTTCTTAATAGGTTTGGGACAATATTGTGTTTTTTGATCGGGGGAAAAAAAAGGTTCCTAATAGGTACTCGTAGTATAGGAAATCTATAGGTTACGCATGATTGTGTGTTGAAAGCGGGGATTGATGACTGGTCTCCAGTCTTAACACAATTTTACTTTACAATCGAAAAATAAATAATACATTTTTAACGATAAAACACAACATGTTTAAAAACGCTGTTGGAGAATTCTACACAAGAACGACGAGGAAATGGTTCCATTACCAAACATTATTGTAAGATTAAAGGAAAATCAATAATAAAAAATAAATGTATCGAAGAATACAAATAAAATATTTCATGTCTTATAAAATATGTGTAAGTATAAACCTCTCATTAATACTTATTAATATCGCGTAAAACGGCTTATTATTAAAAATGCTTGTGTGGCTTATAAATATTATTTCACGTATATAGGTAGGTAAGTAAATCATGCTACAGTAGTTTTATAATCTATACAGATACCTACATATTTTTTTTATTTCTGAAATACGGAAAAAAACAAACCCAATTTGAGTTAATTAGGTAGCGTAGGTACTTAGGAATTCATTACTTGGTTAAAACGTATGATAATAGTATAATATCCAAAGTAAGGTAGGTTAGGATGTAGGGATGTTTTGGAAATACCCATGTAGCTAAGGAGTGAGGTGTCAAATTTTTTGCTTCAAATAGTACTTTCAACTGTCAAGTAGTTTTCGGAAATAGATTGCCATCAGCTTAGCGAATCACTCGGAAGTTGTAAAAATATAATATATATTATAGAACCGCGTCTGGAGGAAACATAATGTTAGTTATCTTATCGGTACGCGTTTTGTAGGTAGCTACTTAACACGCACGTATGGGACGGTAGATACAGGTACTGTAACAGGGTAGGTACCCATAAAATAATGCAAATAATGAGTAGTTGGATGTTTGAAATGTACGAGGGTGGTGTGGGTCCGGGATGTAGTGTCTATATTATAAATCGTATAAAACGACAACAATAATTGCGATGCAACTACTTAAATACGAGTGTCGAGCTTTGCCGCCACTCCGTCAGTAAGTTGTCTTCATGGCGTCCATCAGGTTCTTCGAGTAGTCCTTGTAGGCGCCGTTCTGCTGGGACGCGGCGGCCGATTGTTGCACGTACGAGGAGTAGTCGCCCGACATGTCGGCGGTGAGGGGCGCGAATGCTGCCGCTTGGCCAACCGGCCCTACGGCGCCCGTGGCCACAAGGTTACCGGCACCAAACCCAAAGCCCCCGAAGTTGGGGTTCCGGCAGAACCGCAACATGGTCAACACGGTGGGCAGTGCCATGACTCCGAGCACCAGCATCTTCTTGATGATCATGACGGCCACCAATATGGGCACCAACAGCGTTTTGATCACCAGGAACTTGAACGTTGCCAGCAATGGGAACAGCAGCGCGTACTTCTTGTGTGGGTGCTTGGCTCGACCTGTAATTAGGTAAACCACTGTGAAAAATAAAAAACTAAACAATAGTCCTAAGTCACACCGCCATGGAAATCAATGTAATAGGTGCTCGAGCGTGGGTGCTGCTACTGCAGTTGTGTCTTCGGTTTTGTGGGTTTGCCGTGGCGGTGCCGGTGGGGAGGGGGGTGGAGATCGTGAGACAAATCGCACGTAATTGTACCTATTTATTCACCTATGATCTTGCACTTAGCTGTGTATAGGTATTAGGTACCTAGTTCATAGTTGCCAAGAGCATAGGATTGAATACAACGTATAAAATCTAGCCGATAGGTAGAATATGCCAATATACCTACTTATTTTATGTAGGTGTACATTTTTGTCTTGAAATATTGTTTGGTAGGCATTGTTGGTTATAACTTATAACTTTATAATAAACGAATTATTGGTCATTGAAAACTAATGTAAAATTGTAAAGACCCTTGCATTTCGTAATTCGTTATAACTAAAATCTACTGCATAGTACCATTATAGTAGGTAGGTATATCGTATATATATTATTATACGTATAATGTGTCGGTGGTGTAATTCTATAGGATGATAATTTACTGATGAGGTATGTCATTATCTGAGAAAATTAAGTACACAATGATGAATTAGTCAATAATTATGAAAACATTCGAGGATGAAGGATCACATTGCATTATACCCGGAAACAGGTTAGGTTAGGTGCAGTGTACCAGTGTAAATAGTAGGATGGCCAGTAAAAAGTTAAAGTTGGCTAGACAATATTTACTTCTCGAATTGACCATTGATGTTATTAGTGGTTGACGGCAAGGAAACTTACCTATACGCGTCCAATTAAATATGTTGTATTATCTGATTATTTTAATCAGGTAAGCATATAATTATAAGGTATTAATCGTATTATACTAAATACCTAATATTGAACAACACAGCAGTTACCTACCTACTTAAATTTTCACTGGATCTGGTTCCAGTATAGTGGAAATATAAGTACGACTGAAGTTGAAATGGCTTCCGACTACATATAACGGCAACAATTAGCGCTGTACCTAAGTTTTGATTTTTTTATTATTCGTTTGCTGCGAACACACGTTTTAGCGGTAGTGGAAATAATCAAAAAGTTTCTTGTGTTATGTACAATATACACGGGGTTCTCAATCTCAAACTTTTTTTGTTGCGTTTACACACATCAGTTCCGTATAAGTGGTAACACACCAGTGGTGTAGGTACGTACCTATACCGCAGTCTGAGAATTTTCATTATTTATCTACGATCTACCCATTTGATTATACTACACCCGTGAACTGGTAAGTGGTAGTGACTGAATTACGATATTTTATGGTGGTTATTACACTTCAAACTTCAAAGTTGCAATTATTTTTACTTGGGTATTGTTTTTCAAAACAAATATTGGAAAACGAAAGTACGTAACGTACTGTACGAAAAGTATGTAACGGAGAAAACAAATTTTTGTTCATTCTTTAGCGTTCACTTGAAATTCCTAGTAATTGAGAACATTTTGATAGATACCTATGTGAATATGTACGATTTGTAATTTTTTTGTAACACCGTAACGGATTGTTTCAAGTGGATCTCGATGTTAAGTCATCTCGAACATTTGCTCAAAATTCAACTGCCAATTTAATTAAAAGTCATTCTAAAGACAGTTTAGGTTAATGTAACACCTCATACTCAGTGGAATATTGTTCACGAACACAACTCTAAAAATTGTACCTATAAATGATATTACAATATTTTTTTGTTTTAAAACACGCACTGCATATATAGGATCACAGTTTCCTTTAGGGCCCGTATAGTTTACGGGTATTGTGCCAGCATTATAGATTACCAGACTAGAACCAGTAGTCAGTATATTTACCTACTAATTTTTAGCACCGGTGCAGACAGTGCAGTAGGTATTGACTAGCATTTTAGATAGTACCTACCTACTACCTACGCTCGTGTGGGTCAGTCAACTGTTGGTTAGTACTATACGCGTCTACACCTGTTGCGAATATTAGAATAAGTAAAAAATATCCAATTGGGGAATCCATCTATGGTACCTTTGAAACTTCGCCATGGAATATGCCCAACAGTTTATTTCAATAATCAACCGCTCCCTCCTGCCAAGTGTATACGATATCTCGGCATCCTTATTGACCGTCGTCTCACCTGAAAACCTCACATAATTAGCAAAACCCTTTCACTTAATGACCGCTTCCGACTCCTTCGACCACTTCTAACATCTATGCACATGGAGCTCTCCAATAAGGTCCTACTCTATAAACTTCTTCTCAGGCCCATTTGGACTTATGAGATCCAGCTATGGTGAAAACTTTCAACACTAACTGCATTCAAAGATTCCAACCTAAAACCTTACGTATAATTCTAAAAGCGACATTCTATGTCTCTAACCACTCTCTCCTCTCTGATTTCAAAATATCATTTGTCTCCGAACTAGCAAAAACCTGTTACAAACTTTTCCATAGTCGTCTAATAGCACCTCATAAGAATCTCCTAATCTATGATCCATCATCTTCTTCCATTCCAGGCAACCCGATTAAAAGACTCAAAAGACAGCGGTGTCGTGAGTCGTGACCTGCTAGCCTAACAAAATTCTTTACTATGTCGTAGTATCTTCGCTGGGAGGCTTTTGCATTCTGTCTAATCTGCCTTTTTATTTTTATTTATTTTAGGTTATATTAACCATCACTTGTTCTCATCGTCCTTTTTTTTTTGTAACTGATCGAATAAAAAAACTTATGAACCAAAAAAATTGGGGAGTCGGCTTACTGTACCTACTACCCAATATATTACATTTGGAGTTAAAAATATATTAATATATTTAATACATATAATATTATATATCTAATAATGTCCTAATCCTAATGATTGGTTTAAATTGAATAATATATATAACACGATGACGCTCTGCAGTAGTTCTGCCTAAAATAGGACTTTCGCACGTACGAAACATGTCTGCTTTTTTGTTGTTCAATTACTATCGTGAGTCCCGGATGTTATTATTATGTGTTTTTTTTATTTTTTTTTGTTCACCGTTTTCAATTCAATCGCAATATTTTATGGCACACCGCATCGTTATTTCTGTCGTCTCCATAGTCTGTACTTATCCAATATATTGTATTTGCAAATGGCACCAACCATATGACTTCCATAATCTACGCCGTAGTCACAGTGATTTTTTTTTTAACGTAGATAAATTATCATGAAATATCAATAATATAGGTAATATTATAGGTAGGTACCTTGTACCCATATAATTTATGGACAGTACTTATATTCAGTTTTCGGAAAGTGCTTTAAAAATTGTGTCATTACGACTCACATGGCCGCATGGGATTATATTTGTCATTTGGAGATTAAAATATTTTATACTACAATAGTTGTGGGTAGGTTTACCTTGTTTACAACTTCAAATGTATCCATTATATATTTATATAGTTTATTTTTGTAAGGAATCAAAGGAGAAAAATCTTTGATTTGAATAATTAATGATCAGTTTTGAAAGTCTAGGTAGAAAATTGTTTTGAATGATAATCTCTGTTACCTATTAGATGTTCATTTTTACCTTAGACATTTTTTTGCAACTAAAATATATTTCAATTTAAAACGGTTAAATTACGTTAGGTATTCAGTAAAATATATAAATTGTAGGTACCTATTGTTCTTTTTTTTTTAGTTATAATAATGTCATTTAACGCTCAAACATTTTGATTGATTTAGATGGAATGGAACAATTATCAATTGTGTTTTATTTAATCTGACAAGTGACAATGAAGAAATAATAATTAACTAACCGATATAATAAATAATCAGCATTCATATTTTTTTATGTGATTTGTTAGCATAAATACTCAATACTTATAAGTTATAGCATTATAGTTCATATTCAAATAACCAATAATTCAATAGTCGAACGTAGTTTACCACAAAACATGGTACTTATCTAGATTTTGTACACTCACCACAATGGCGTTCCCATCTGTCAGTAGTAGGTATACTATTGTCTATTACTATAATCGTAATTTTGTGGTTAATCAATGTGCATCCATTGTATGTGTACTTATTATGTCTATATAATGATTAAAGTTTTTAGAGCGTTAACTTCACTGATAAAATAAGTAAGTAGGTACCTCATATAATAAAGTATATTTCTTATAGTGTTAACGTTCATTTTACATTTTTACCACTTACATTCACATTTTATAACACTAAAACGAATGCTTTCGAATCTGACGCCTAGACCCCCTCAGAGACTAGAGAGAACAATTCAATTATTTGAGCTATTTAATATTTATCATAATATTAACAAAAATATGACAGGTACAACTTTTTTCAAAAATATTATAATTTATAATATATTATGATTTAACACAATCATCAATCGGTTCATAATTCATATTAACGAAATCTCGTGGACAATTAAAACGTTTATGCATACTATTCTCCTAACTGTTTTCACTGTATAAATATTATGTACAAAATATTAATCAGTATCGTTATTTTAGAATTCTTTGATTTTATCATATTATGAAGCATTGCATGAAACATTTTGCTCGGGCTGAAATAGCATTAATACTGCGTAAAGAGGAAAAAACATTCATGCAAAGTATACAATGAATATCTATTCATGATCAGTAAAATAAAATAAATTCTCACAGTGCACACAATGTTACAATGTGAATATATTTTTTTTTGCAACAACGGAGAAAATGTACTATATCGCCTCCTATACGTTTTAATAGAGTATATTTGTGTGTACCATATTATTGTCCATATATATGTATGTCAGCGTGTGTAACGTATATATTGTATAAATTACATGCGATTAAATTAAAACGTTATTTTTTTGTCGCACACGCTGTGTGCTTACTCCTATTGTATTTTATAATTATTTTTTGTTTTAAAAAAAATGTATAGTACTTTTCATGCGCTAATGTGATTTTTTATTTTTACATATAAATATGGGCTGAAGTGTGAAATACGCAAAGTATATAATATGGATACTGATCGTTTTGTGAAATTGTAATAATTTGACAGGAGGCGAGATAAAATGACGGACAAATGACTTATCGGTGTTTCCCTATAGCGAACGCCACAATCGTTGTTCTATACCTATGCGAAATGCTAATCAATTAGGTACCTAGTATTTTTAACCTTTTAAAATGTCAAAGTGTTTCAGATTTCGAACACCCGGGTACTTTCAGATTTATAGAAGGTCATTATTCTTTAGGTTTAAACTTACCGAGTCACAAAAACTGTCAAAATAGGTATCAATATTTGATGTATATGCAGTGGGAAGTTGTCTTGTAATTTGCATTATAAATACTTGAAAGACAAAATAAAATATTTCATAACGCAATACATATTTTGTTATTATAGCGGAGGTGGGTAGATATATAGTGCTACGTTGTAATATTGTGCGTATAAAAAGTTTTGTATAACAAAAGGTAAAAGTGATGAAAATATTCCAATTTGTTAAATGTGTCTTATTATTGTTAGGTTTTTACCTACGACATGATATTATATGAACAATATTTCATTTTCACGATATATAACTGACAATGTAATATATATTTATTTGATACTCAGTGTATTTGATAGGAACCTACATATCTAGTAATAGTTTTTAATAGGTATATTATAAAAAAAAGCAATTTAACTTAAGTGGAACCTCAATAACCAGAATCAGTCGGGAATAGAAAATCATATATTTGTTATAATTGTGAGCCGACCACAACTGAGTGCTTGCATGCACATTATATTTATTGTAATAGCTCAACCAAAGCTAAAACCGATGTATGGACATTTTAAACAATCAGGAAAATGTAAATAAAATAGGTAAGTGTAGTTTTTTTTAATCACAAAACAACAATTAATTGTTGGTCTTAATTAATTTCCTATAATAAGTAATACCAGTGAAGTAGTCATTAAAAAATCAAAATAATAAAATAACAGAAATAATTGATATTTTTTTCACGAAAAAACTGTTTCTAGATTCGAATTGATTGTTTAAAATTATAGCTTACTCTTCACAATAAATTTACCAAATAAATATAATATCTAGGTTTTTATACATTCAATACTTTGAGTGACTAATGCGAGTATATAGTTTTGAAGTTATGAGTCAACTATTACCATTATCTTACCTACTTAGGGCGAAGATCTCTTCTCAAAACTTTTGTGGTTATAATAGTTCTCTCTGAAAACACCCTTAGCGGGACTTGTGACTCTCTATTTCCTCCTAATATTCACCTATTGCTATGTACTACAGGTAAATTATCTATTTTGCTGCTTTTTAGTTTTATATTTTACTATATACTTATATATATATATATACTTATATGTACTTATATACTTATAGTTGCATACAAATTCAAAAATATTATATTACTAATAGTAAATAATATCATATCATTTATTATATAAAATATACTAATTATACCTATTACGTTGGAAATTAAGTTATAAATGTTTTTCAAATAAGGGCTGAACAAATAGGGTTCAGAACTTCAGCAGTTAGAATTCTTCAAAATTATAATTTTATTAGATAATTAAGAATTCTATAAAACAATTATGAATAATTACATTTTATAATACAATATTATTCATTCCAATCGTACTATTTCGGTCTATTTCGTTTATAAAACTTTTTTATCGTGACTTTATGTTGAGTTAGATTTTATGCGGTTACACTTCAAAATAAATGATTTATTTTTCAATAGAATTGTTTGATTTGACACTGGTTCAAATACATAGATAGTCGATAGGTAGTTCAAATAATAAACCTATATAAAAAAGTACATTACCCCGTTCCGTCATTTCAAATCGTCGTTGTTTTGTAAACAATACCTATCTATTAGCTTATTACAAATTGTTTCAATTTTATATTTGCAACTAAAAAATCTTACTTTTAACTTAGAAATCGAAACGTGAAAATATATTTCAATTGTAGGAGAGCATATTAATATTTTAATTTATAATAACTCACTGTGGGTACGTTGGGAAACATATATTATCATTTATCGTTAAGTCCAGGTAAACGAATCTGATATTCATTGTTTATTAATATAATATGTAATGTATTAATATTTTAGTTATATTTCTCTATGTATGATATAATATACAAGTAGGTTTAATTTTAATATGCTATTGGTTTGTTCTGAAAATTATATTGTTTTAACTTCAATGTAATAAGGTTTATTGTAGGTACCTAGGTATTTAATATTTGTTAGTGTCTTTCTAAAACTTTAAGAGTCCTGGGCCAACTAACTAATATTTTGCCCCTAGAAATTTAATTACATTTGATATTTCAAACCAAATATTGACTTAACGTTGGAATAATAGCCATAACTATAACCTTTAACTAGGTATCCGAGCTATCTCAAAACGTTTGATAAAATAAATCGTACCTCTATTGTTCCGCATATAAGGACTATGTCCATTGTACTGAAATTATCTATATTATTTTAATACATTTGTAACTATAATATGATTGTTTTATCCATATTTTAGTAAAACAGTAAAACTTATTACACATTTGGTTAAGCAATTGGGTAAGAAATTACATGCTTGGCCATGCGTATAAATCATTGAAGGAAATACAATTTGAATATATATATACCTAGCTACTACTGGTTTTCAAATGGCAATAATATATTAGTACAATAGTGGGTAAGTACTACATAGTTACTTCAAATGAATGGGTACTATAAAATATTAAAAACAGAACAATTCTAGTATAGGTGAAATTTGATTTTTGTAATATTACGAATTACGACGAAGTCATGAAAGTATTATTTTTCATTAAATACCTACATCCGACGTCTGATTTTTGATAAGACTTCAACGGATATTCAAAGGTTAGGTTTCTCGATGTTTATAAAGATTCAATATTACGTTATAATAATCTTAATGTTCGTTTTTAAATATTGTTATAATTTGCCTGTAAATTGTATAAAATATTTATACTCACTTTCGTTGACCACTTGGAAAACATCGTTCTCGTCAACGACTGTGACAGGTGGAAATTTTTTTGACCATTGCGGGAGGGACAATAGAATTCCGTGGTCGGTGCTGTAATTGGTCAGTTTTTTGAATGCGTAAACCAATTGATCCCAAAAATTTCCCGCGGTCCACGATCTACTCTCGTCGATTTCGTAGCGTTGATCGATGTTCATTGTATCGTTATCGAATTTCAGTTTGATAAATCTCATCATCGTTCCACTGTCGTTATTTAATTGCTATAGAAAACAATATTGTACGAACATTCATTACTGCTTTCTTTTGTTTGTTTTAAAATAATTTATCCAAAAATATGTAAAAACACAGATTTAGTTATCAGACGATGCCGCGTGGGTAGGTTCATACATATTTAAATAAAAATTAATCAAACGCCATAATTCTTCGTTAAAAAATAATTATAATACATAAAACTCGATATCTCGGTTAATTGTTGTGTTTTAAAAAAACATTTTACCAGCAATTTTAAGTGCATAATAGACAATAGTAAGTAAATACATAAGACAGACAGTACATTCCATATCGTATCACATTAAGCTTTTATTCTTAAGCTGCTTTTTTAAACATAAGGTTATCCATTGCTAATGATAAATTATGTCCCAATAGTTGATGGTTTTAATTTTAGTTCCAATGAAGCGTTCAATATTTATAATGATGAAAGTGGATGTGTAGTAAAGTATAGGTTATAGCCGTTATAGGTACTAAATGTTCTTTATTTTAAAATCATATTTCTACATGTATGCGCACTTAAAAATGTCTTGTATAACTGGGTGTTAACTCGTAAATAAACAAATAAAGGTAACAATTTAAAAAAAAACCTATTTATTTTTCAAAAAGTTTTCTTTTAGTTTATAAAATGAAAACCCATATTTTTAAAATTTATTATTCTGAAGTAGAATGTATGTATGAACATTTCCATTATTAAACTAGAGTTGTATAGGTATGTAGGTATCTCAATTTTGCAAGGTTTTCTAGCTACTTTATTCCCCCTTTTATAACTCAAAAGTTAAAACGCTTATAAATGAACAGTTATTTATAAATGGAAGTTTCCGACGTTTCCGTTAAGATGTTCAGCTGAAGAACACAAAATTAAATATATCGGATGCCGTAAACATGAATAAAACACTATAAGTGAAAAAGAAAGAATTTGGTTTTTAATAATAAATTGCGATAAGAAGATAAAGATCAACCTAATTCAAGGCTTGTATAATGATTTATTTTATATTATAATAATTATATATTAATAAATTTTTTGTCATTTAAAAAACGTACAATTAAAGGCATTAAAGAGATGTATTCATTGCATAAAGCCCTCCTGTATTTATTGAAAGTGCCTACAATATTTACAGGTAATATACTCACGTTTGATCCAAAGAAATTCTCAGGGTCTTCGGTGACTTTGGCCAGAGTCTCCAATATAAATTTGCCCACGCATTCTTGGGTAAGGTTTGTGTGACGAGGACCACACTGGTCGAACATGGACGATTGTGAAGTCTTACAGATGACCAACGCCACCGTCAATAACGCCAAGAACATTTTGAGCTGCAACACGTTATTATATAAACACGATGACCGACCGCGGATCGCATCTGCCGAGCAACTAATGACCGTCATTAGAAGAGAATCCGACGTTTAGCTAATAACGATATCGATTGATTAATTTCTCGTTGGATTGCACCTGTCTCCGCGGGGAAGCGTCATGCGGAAATTCGGGCCGTCTCAAGTAGTTCACGAGAGCAGGTGGAAAATCTTGCACTCAAAAGTAGTTTGTTTATTTATTATGCACAAGAAAATATGTCACACGCAATTAAATGTAATTTTTAATGTTTATTATATTATAACCACCAAACGTTTTCTAACGAATTATAACTGTCATTACCCGGTATACATAAAATAGGCCAAGGGTATTGTATATATTTTGCATTAAGCATAGTTAAAAGATACGTACTGTATTAATTTCCAATAGAATGTGCGTTTTGTGTAAGAAACTACGAGGGTGGAGAGAATGGTTGAAGAATATAATACATATTTTTTCGTTGATAACAATTTATGAAGTTTAAATATTTAAAAATTAATGGCAATAAAATTACATTTTGAATACGTAGGTACTTGATTACGCGAATAAACGACATTTTTTCTGTGCACTAAGTCGGTAGGGATATATAATATAAGGAATACCTACAATAAACGAAGAACAATCAAAGTTTATAAAATCAAATTCTAGTTTCACATGAACGTATTATACGAAAATATTGTTTATTATAATAAGTCGTTTCACCACAGCCAATGTAGGTAGTACCTTCATGGCTCGTAAAAAAACAATTTTGCTGACAAAACATATTTTTAATGTGAAGGAGAAAAAGTTTTCAGCACAAATCGTCTCGTTTTAAATTTTAAATTCCATTAAAAAAGGTTTTAAGTATAGTGTGAAGTGATAGCGTTCACTATATTATGCAGATCTGTTGGGTGTTTATATTTTTAATTATCTACGTATATATAGTGATAGTTAGCTAATATTTTAATATTTTACAATATATTATAATTATGTGCACTTATAATAGTAAACATTTTATGGATAGTGAATATTTCAAGAAAAATATATAAGTAAGGCTGCAATCGGCTAAGGAAAGGATAAGTAAAGGGGATTCTCAAAATAAAGCATCGTACCTACTCTTTAATTTATACCTATCTAAGTAAGTAATAAGTGAACTAAACACCAAGTCAAATGTAAATTTGAGTTTGGACTTTTAATATTTTAAAAACAAAACTCAACATTGTTGAAAATAATCATTCTACAGCTGCACATCCGTACATCACCTATATTTATTTATTTTTTTTATTGATACAAGACCCTCGGTAGTCGGTAACATAGGCCACTGGGTTTTAAAATATAATTTAATCGATTACATAATGTATTGAGTACTTATTCTAAATAATTTTAAATTTTGGTTTGAAGATTGGCAGCTCTGATGAATTGGACGATGTTCGCTATGGATTGAGGTTGATGTAAAATTGAGGTTTCGGCAAAACCTACCCGAATCTATCTATATTATTTTGTATTTTAACTCTAAAATCTATAACAGTTTGATTTCAATTTTATATTATCTATAGAGCTTGGTGAATAGTTGCGAAGTGAACATTTTACTAATTATGTACAAAAAAAAAATATTTATAGTGTTTATTATTTTCAGTTAGGAGGGGCTCTCTCACACATGGGCCCCCATATAGGTACACGGCCTTGGGCTCAACACATAAAGCCAAACTAATATGTAGTAAATCCTTCTATTAATGTACCTATCGGTAATAAGTAATAACTAATAACATCCCAAACTTAACATGACAATATCTCAGTGTAAATGTCAAGTTAATATAACTGAAATATAGTATTATTTTTTTTTGGAGCGAAATATTATACCCGTGTAGTTTTTTTTCTAGTAATTTTATTTTGAAGAGGATGAAGTACCTAGATTTAAGAGTATTTGCGAATGATGTTAAACAAACAAAGTTTTTTGAGAATACCTAATGCATAACAGTGAAGTACAATAATCATATCCTGGTACAAATGTTACCGCTCAATAATTATCCTTAATGATACATTTTATCATGCAAAATCTAAGAGGTAAAAAAATTATTTCAATTTATTAGACATATTGGAGCGTACTAACTGGGTTTCTATAGTATTAAATAAAAGCAATACGACATCTTAAAGAAGAAAAAATTCTTTAGACTTTAAAGACCTTAACGTTCTTTAATCACAACTCATGGCTAATGCTAATTTTTACAAAAAAAACATTCAGATAATTCATTTATTAATTATCAATGTTTAGGAATTTAATACCACATGTATAAATAATTTGTATAGGTAATATACGGTAAAATTGAATACATTTTGGTGACAACTTGTTTAGTTATTTATACATTCATATTTAGGCTTTGGTTCTAGCTTTAAAATAAAACTAAATTTAAAGTACTTAGTCTAAATGATCTGAGTACATGGTAAGAATTGTGATACAAATATTAAAATTTTTGCGTCTTTCCGAGACCTACCCTAAATATTTTAATCAACACTTGTGAAATATTTAAAGTTTCAACGATTTATTAGAGTAAGAATAAAAAAACTAAAAATAATTAGTCATAATTTAAACCTCAGATGCCCATTACAAATATTTGTGGAATCGTATTCAACTTTTTTTTTTTATAATTTTTGTAAAAAAACCTTATGTGACTTTATGCTTATAGGACTTATCATCGATATGAATATTGAAAATTGTATACATTTTTTACTATACAAAATAACTTAACTTGAATATTTTCTTAATTTTGACTATTTTTTCTGAATATTATGTATTTTCGATATATTTCAATTGATTTACAAACACTTTATGATTAACCAACTTATTTTATTAAATTTCTAACTTTTCAAGTATTTTTATCCAAAAACAAAGACCGTATCATTCATGAATAAAAAAAGCTAAGTAAATGCTAATATTATGATTAGTCAGTGAGAATTTCAATTATCTACAGTTATTTATTTTTGATTTCTACTAAAAATAAAATCTTGTTTAAATTTGTCAAGCTTAAAAATTGTAGTTTTTCCTTATTTTGTTTTTTTCTCAGCTATTTTGGAATTGTATTATTAATAAATTTATTTTATAACTTTTGACCCCTTCAAAGTACCAATAAAAACTAATTTTCTACCAGAGACCACTGTCAAAATTGAAAACCAAAGCTTTTTCACTGTTCCAAGATGTAATGATTGACCGAAAAAAAATCAAAACACCCATTATTATAAAACCAATACGTATAACGATTCGCTCGGAATATAAAACTGTTGACGATTTTATGGTGTACTATAAAGGTAAAAATAAATAACTATTTTTTATGATATGTTCTAGGGAATACCAATTACCAATATTGTCATAGGTACAACTAGGGAAAAATTACGACAGGATAGTAATTTATTAAATTCACCTAGTTTTATCTGACAGTGGAATTCAATTTACCTAACACAAAAACAATTAGATATGTGATAATAATAAAATTATATTATCACTACAAATGTTAAATTATTGCGTTATCCTCAAGGTGAGCTATTATTTTATGTATATAATAACATTAGTGATAAAATGTGTGCTATTATAATATGATAATAATAATAATAGAAATAATAATAGTAATACCTATAAAATAAGTGAAAACAGCGTAATTATGAGTTGACTGTTTACCCACCTAATAAATTTCAATGAAACTCCGACTAAGTTGTTTTGAGTACGAAAATAAAGTGAACTTGGCAAAATAAGGTGCCCATAATATTTATATCTCATAAATTATGAAAAATTTAAATGTTATAAAAATAAAACTTAGTTGGACGTTAGAAAGTTATTATGTTGTTTTTCAAATAATTTGTCGTATACAAAAAAATGTACCATCCAGTTTTAAAAAATTCTTTTAGCCTCTAGACAACATTAAGCCTTTTTTATGTCATCCAGGTAAGGCGTTAATTGATTTAGAACAGTGAGGTTGCTATTAAGTTCATTTAATGTATAGCAATTAGCAATTTACACAAACGCATTAACGTGTATTACTTATTTTCAACACGTTTATATATTATAATTATTTATATTGTATAAACTTTTAATTTTTTTAATGATAGTAATATTTTTTAGTCCACAGTAACCGTATTATGCTACAAATGAACTAGGTATTGTTCGTATTGCGATACATGATAACAGGTGGTTTTTTTATACAGCATTCAGACTTTTTTTTTGGTGATCGATCACAATTTATAAATTTGAAATTAATGTTGTCATTTTTTTCATATAGGATTGATTGGACTTCTTTATAGTACCCTGGTTTAATATGGTTGTACAGTAAATCCTAAGTTAATTTACTTAAATAAACGTTTTTTTAATGTTATTTAATTATTTTTTATTTGATATAATATAACATAATTAAAATTTAGTTGACATGTAAGTGTAAAATTAATTTATGTGGCTTGTCGAAATCGTGATTATATTTTATAGGTATACTTTCGGTTTTTTTGTAACACGTGAACAAATCTCTCAAGGAACATTGATTTTAGACCAAGGGGCAAATCGAAAAAAACTAAAAACACTGTGATATAATTTGAATTACAATGAGTATTAAAGCTCTCTATGGATTTGGTTTCATACGTCTTAATTGTTCGGAATTAACAAAATTGGTTAATATTTTTATATTTGTCTCTATTATGTTCGATTTTGTAGTAACGTTTAGTCATTTGGAATCTAGTTCAAGTTATTTTTCCAAAAATTGTGTTTATAAAACGACTCAAAATTATGCAACAGAAATATTTATTTGTATTTATTAAGTGTTTTTGAAATAATGAGAGTCTACGTTAAATGGATCACTCCGTATACATCCTTTGAGCATCTTAGAAATGTTATCTCGTCGGAGAAAGCACAACATAATAATACACAAATATACAATGCTATAAATGTGTCGGGATGGTCGTCTAATCGTTCTATTTTTACGATTTACGATCTGAAAATGCGTAGCAAAACGAAAACTTGATTGGACTTTGACGTGAAATCAGAAGGTCAACTAATAATTGTGTCAGCTAAACAGATAATATTAAAATACCTAACCATAAAATTGTGCCCGTTTAATGCATGTCATCATAACAATATTATTACCTATACCAAAGTATAAGATAATTTAAAACCACGGCCATATAGTTATTCAGGATCGATTTCATA